TAAGCACTAACTATCTTATTGATGTTACAAAATTCCTAGGTAGAAAACGCTAATTTACGGAAAGTTCAAAAATTGCTTATTAGCTCCTTGTGTAACGGTAGAAGACGAGAAACTTGGTAATGGAATGTTTATTTGGAATCCCTATATAGCGAAATTATGCACACCATTTGCACAGATCTTCCGTGTTGTGCTACTTATGGCCTTCATATTGGTTCCTTTCACGTCTCCCATGTATCTATGCAAAGCTGGTTCATTTGCTCTCTTTCACGTCAAATCTATCTCCGTGCTATTTGATGTTTTTATTCCAACGAACGTCTTTTTATACACTACTGATAAATCTTATCAGTAGCACACGCCACACTTGCAGTATCTGCCTATTGTAGGCGGCATTTATTTTTCACATTCAAACTATGCAAATTTCTCAGAGTCACTGAAGAGGAGCATATACATAATAGTCACTAAGACGGAAATATTCATTTCACATTGATGACATATAGTTGGAATACCTTTGGAAGAATAGAAATCTTAAACCGTATGTTTTCGTTTAAACAGTTAAGAACACAATATTCAGCGAAGAGACTCTTTTCAACAAATTTATTATCCAGGTGTACAGTGGTATATGTATATGGTTTTTTTTAAAGCAATTATATCCGGTGAGGGAACTGAATCAAAGGTGTGAATACATGAAATGATAATAATAGTATTAAATGCAATTAAAATATTTGTGGTGAACTGTTAGATGCTCTTGTGGAGCAAGATACATTGGCCGTAGCCAGAGATCGCTTTCCACACGGATACGAGAACATATTCCAGCATGGTTTTACAAGGGAGAAAGGAAGGGTGTGCGAAGCTATATTCTAGAACACTTGATCGACTCTTGTCACTCTACCAACCCTGACTATGACTTTAAGATCATCTTCGTTATAGACTTCTAAAGACAGAGGAGGCCCTGGCCATTCATGAATTTAAACCAGATCTCTGTGCACAAAAGAAGTATGTACAATCCCTACTTCTGCCTTGGTAGTAGAGAGATAGATATTTATTTATTTAGTTAATCTAGGTACCTCTCCCTCATTACTACGATTATTATTGTTACTATTCTCACTTTGAATTGTTTCCACCTGTCATTCTAAATCCAAAATTTTTTCACAATGTTGAGTTGTATTTCATCAAATTTCATACCATGTTATAATTATACACCCCTTTGCAACATCTATACATCTTATGAATTATTCTATATATGACATTAATTGTTTTGTTACTTGACATTTAATTATGATTATAATCACAAATATTTTAATTGCATTTCATACTACTACTATTATTATTTTATGCATTCACAACTTTGATTCAATTCCCTCACAGGATATAATTTCTTAAAATAGCCTTTATATATACGACTGTACAGCTTGATAATAAATTTGTTGAGAAGAGTCTCTTCGCTGAATATTGTGTTCCTAATATTATAATGGCAATGTTGATTTTCACCAGTGTGACTAAGCAGGGTCCCAGTGAGCTAATGCAAAACTTTAAGCTTATAAAATTTAGTCAACAAGTGTTCAGAATTTACTGTGATTTATATTAGTTTCTGGAAAGAACAAAACTTCGAGGGTGAAAAAGCCTGAGCGCTTAAGACAAACTAAATCTACGAGAATTCAAAAAGTTTCGACAGTGCCATGTTAGCGGCCATCTGTACGTCATTTGATTGAATTTTTTTAACTATGATTGTGGTGAGAACTGTCTGCTAGCCAAAATTAGTAGACAGTAATTTACGTCAATGTTTACGTCCCCAATATTGGTCATGAGAAAAATAAGAACAAAGACTGACTACTCAACAACCAATCACAGCAGACTTTGTTTGCGTGGGCGGATACAATTTGCAGATAGATAATCTGAACTTCAAGAAACGGTCACAAAGAGATGAAAGATTAACGTTCAGCGAGAAACCACCAATCAGAAGACTGTGTTTGTTTGCTTACAATAATCTATAATAATGTACATGAAAATCTATAAATATCTGTTGATTTCGTAAATAAACGATCTGTTGCCTGGCCCTTGTCTTCTGTCGTTACATGATTACCACGTAGAAAATGATTTGTCTAGTTATCCTTATGCAGATGTTCGACACCTAGGGTTAATCTCTAATGTTTTCTATTGCGCTATATTTGTCTAAGCAAAGATATGACAGACTAAACATTTCACTCAGCGGGTAACTCTACAGTCTGATATGTTTTCTACCTATATTTTAAAGTGGCCTTGCTTAGTATCTATTACTGTTGTACAAATATATTTTAATGTTTCTTAAAAAAAGTTAATGTTTTAAAACAAGTCACTTTTGGATCGAATTCTCAACTTGCTAATCAATTCGCAACCCGCAAACTACACAGTTTAAGATAAATATTCACTACAGTTTCCTTCGAAAACTGAAATTATTATTCAGATCACATTAAATGTGATCCACTTGACACCATTAATGGCAATCAAGCACTAATGAGTAGTGCTACTGACTGATAGATAGTTGGATACTACTCACGCCCACACCGGACAACTGTTTCGCTCGTTTGGAGCCCAGATCATCAGCGGTATACCCAGATTAACTCAGATCACAGAGGTGAATCCGTTCAAACCACCTCGTTATTCTGGCTAGCTACTTCAGCGAAATGGTTATACCATAAATCAAATTCACAAACCGACCGTCCGGTATTTAGAACACTTCAATCTGGCTAGTAAACACTGTTGGTTGATGTGAGTTGTATCCGATTACTCGTGTCAATCAATCAGTAGTATGTGGCAAAAAACTAAGCTCAGGAACTGCTTTCCTCGAGAGTATTAGGGGTTAATGACGACTGGGTCATTCCTCCTTAGTTATCAAATCACGATTTAAAATACATCAGCAAGCCTTCGAAAATTTAGCGGCTATTTGCAATCTACGACTTGTAAAGCTAATCATTTAAATCAGCTTGTTATTTTTCCCGAATCCGATTCGCAATTCTTCATGTGGACAGCACCCAACTACTCATATCAACCAACCAGTAGTATGTGACGTCATGTTATTTTTCTTACTGATTATCACGTTATTGTAATGCAATTTGTGTGAATCAATATTTTTGTTTATTTGATTATTTCGTGATCAAAATGTTGAAGGGGGGGAATTTAAGAGCTTTCCTGTTTTTATAGCCAAACAACACCCCGTTTTACCTTGCTTATTCGTAAATACCTGGTTGGTGCTATCGAGACTCTAAGAATACATGTCTTGAAACTGCTGGTGATATGGATCAAATTTATGCTCATTGGTGCAGATGCATTCGCTCTTTGTAACCCCCCCATATTCGTTAAGTCCTCATACTTTTCCATGTTGCTCTTCTTTCCTCCAGCAAATTTTCGTTCATCATTGATCTTTTGAATTACCTTCGTTTACTTCTCAATCAATCTTTGTGTGCTACATGGATTGACTTGTTACCAGGGAATAATCTCGTTTACTTAGAATATGAAGGTGATATGGTCCCTCTAGGTGAAGACGCTGACAAAATAGAGCAGATTCTTCTGAACACCTCAAGGAGTATCAATCTTCGAATGTTTGGCATGCAGTTCGCTCCCGTCAAATATAAGATGATGCTACAGGACTGGACTACATTGACTACTCCTAGCTTAAAGATAGGGAGTGAAATGGTAGAGCGTGTTGTTGATCACTTCACTTATTTGGGAAGTTGCATCAGCCAACGCAAGCGGGTTGATCGCTGATGAGATCATCACGGATACAGAAGGCTCGTTTGGAATATGCCAAATTACGCCATCTCTGGCATAGACATGATATCCGACTGTCGACCAAAGGGCGTGTGTACTGCTCAGCAGTCCTCTCCGTCTTCCTTTATGGCTGTAAGTGAGACATGGACATTGAAAGTGGAAGACATGAAAAGACTAGCTGTCTTTGATCATAGGTGCCTGCTTTCTATCTCCCATGTGAAGTGGTATAATACCGTAAGCAATATTGGGGTGAGGCGTCAGTCGACTAATTTATCAGGGTAATTATTAAGTTTCAAGGCTTCTCTCATATGTCTCACTTCCTATTTGGTACTACTTAGTTTTTGTGCTCTATCACTTAAACATTTCACCAATCCTATTTTTACTGACATAGGATGGGATGATCGGAAGTCCAAATATCTGTTTGAATGTGTGGGTTTCCTGTAAACACTAGTGTTTAACTTCCCATCTTCTTTCCTTTTTACGCTACAATCTAACATTGGAAGTTCCCCTTCCTGACTTTCCAATTCATAAGTGAATTGAATTGCCTCCACCTCTGAGTTAATGTGTTCGAAAAATCTATCTATATCCTGTGTTCTAAGTACAGTGAATGTGTCATCTACATACCTCCACCATACTTTTGGGGTGGGGCTGAACGTTTCAATCGCTAAGTTTTCCCACCTATCCATGAATATATCTGCCACAACCGGGGATATTGGTGATCCCATGGCAACTCCCTCAGTTTGTTTGTATATTTTCCCTTGGAATTTAAATACTGTGGAAGTCAGGCATAGCTGCACTCCCAGCATTATGTCCTCAAGTGGCACTTTCGTCCTAAGTTCGAGTTCTTGGTCAGAAATCAGTTCGTTTCTGACTGCCTCTATAGCCATATTTATTGGTATATGTGTATATAAACTGACAATGTCAAAACTAACCATTTTTTTCTTCATTATCTAATTTTAAATTATCTAATCTATGTTTTAGTTCATAAGAATTAGTTAGTCTAGATTTCGAGTGGCTTTTAAGGGGATTTAATACCATGGCTAAATATTTAGATGATTCATAAGTAGGTGAATTTCTAAAATCGACTATAAAACTCAAGTTTCGAAGTCGTGTGATTATAATTGATGGCATGATTATGAACAATAAATTTTGTTCGAAACCTTGTCATCCAGTAAATACTAATACTGTTTCACTGTGTAATACATCTAATAAACAAACTAATATGGAATTACTTACTACCACAGTGCCCAAGTTTTACACATATATTAACAGAAAAATCATTGAACTTTTGTTTTATCTTTATTAAGCAGTATAAAGCCAATTATAAAGGAGATATAGAACAAAAGTGTCAGATATTAAACTTGATGCTGGGATAAAACAACCTGGATACATTCAAATGTGAACAGAGATCATTATTATTAATATTATTACTATATGGATATATGAAAGCAGTATTCCATAGCATGTATGCGAATAGGTAAAAACAAAAAAAAAAAACAAAACACAACTGTACTAATAGAAGAAGCGAGGTGTAAACGGCTGGTTAGAAAAAAAAGAGAAGTGTATTAGGCATTTCGTGAACAATCAATCATCATCAACCGGTGGTGGTTGAAGGGATCCTATCCAAGCCAAATTTATTATTATCGTCCGTCTGTGCATACTGTCTTCAATCCGTTCCCGGTGAAATTAGTTTTAAATTGTTCTGGGACTGGATACTCCTCCTGAAACCGACAAAAAGAGATAGTAGACAGGAAGCCAATGATACTGATAAGGCAGTAAATACTGAAATAGAATTTTAAAAAAACTTTGGGAAAGGGACTCTCAGACATGTTAGATGATTTACATCATTAAATATAAAAAAAAAACATCGTGCACTGGCGATTCAATAATAGAATGCTTGTCAACCCCCCACACACAAGAGGTGAGAGACTTCGAATCCCGACTGACGCACACTTGATTAATCCTCGCCAACTTTACTAGCCGAAGGTACGTTTGAGGAAAAGAGTAGGCTGGGAATGAGACTTGGAACTTTAGAGCTTGGAGCCCTGCATTCTACTCGGAATGCAAACAAGTGAGTTAAAATTAGATACATAAAACTTATTCATGATGCAATATGCTTCACAAATGGATAGTGTTCATTTAAGACGAGTGGAATAAAAAAAAGGCTAAAACAAAATAACAAATGGAGTGAAATTTTTTTAGCTTGCATAGCGCTTTTATACCACGCACACCTTTAAAAATTCAAGAATATCCACTCCTTTGCCTTTAGAAGTAATGTCTTTACACTCTGATTAATGTTTAAACCATTCTAACTTCCTATTTATTGATTGTATACTGACAGACTGGGTGAATTTTCAGTACAGAACTTCTCACAAAAGTGAAGCAGTTCAACTTGCTACACTTCAAAAAATACATCTAATGGTAGAGGAAAGGAATGAAAAAAAACCCAACTATAATGAACAGAAATGTACAAGAGAAAGAATAATTCTTTGGGGGGAATAATGAGAATTTAATGGATCTAGGAGTTCAAATGAAGAGCGGTATGCATCTACAGTATTCAGAATGAGTTCAATAAACATCCAAAGATTTCAAGAAGTCGGTTTACAGCATCGCAAAGGACTTCAACCAGGTTGTGCATACTTCTCTATGTGGCTTAAACCACCAGTCAATGACTTCATGGATTGACGACACGCTTGTGTCAACTAACATTGTACGGTGAGGAAGTTGATAGCTCGGCATGCTCAATATGTGTCTTATCCATCTCAATACATGTAGTTTCACAATTTTATTGATTGACTTACCCTCTTTACCTAACGTTCTATGCCTAACTTCAATATTACTCACCATATGATACTATTTAACACGGGAGATAGAACGCAAACATCTGTGGTCAAAAAACAGTTAGCCTATTCAGGAATTTCAATTTCAATGATCCTCTTTCACAGACAAAGGAATAGTAATAACTAAGAACAAAACAGTTTCATTGGGTATTATAAGTCACAAGGAATGGATGCATCTGCGACAGCCATTGAGAACGATTTTGAGCCATGTCACCAATTGTTTCCAACCACTGGTTTTTACCATCCCGAGGACCCCAGTCAGGAAGTCTACACCTTCCTACGTGGCCTAGAATAACTGTTGTAGATTTCATTAACTGGTGCCATGTTTCGGGTGGCCGCCACCAGCTCTTTTCTAGCCTGACCCTATATTAGCTAACATTGCCCGTTGAGGAAGGCCGATGGCTAGGCATACGTAACACATGTCCTAACCATCTCAGTCGATGTAACCTCACAGCCTCGTCAATTGATTTCCCCTCCCTACCTAGCACTCTATGCCTTACCTCAATATTGCTCACCTTATTATACCACTTCACGCGGGAGATAGAACGCATACACCTATGACCAATGACAGCTAATCTTTTTATGTCTTCCACTCTCAATGGCCAGGTCTCACAGCCATAAAGGAGGACGGAGTGGACTGCTGAGCAGTACACACTCCCTTTGGTCGATAGTCGGATATCACGTCTACGCCAGAGACGGCGTAAACTGGCATATGCGAAACTAGCCCTCTGTATTCGTGCTGAGATTTCGTCAGCGATCAACCCGTTGGGGCTGATGGTACTTCCCAAGTAAGTGAAGCGGTCAACGTGCTCTACCACTTCACTTCCTATTTCTAATCTAGGAGTCGGTGTAGTCCAATCCTGTAACATCATCTTGCATTTGGCGGGAGCGAATCGCATGCCAAACATTTGTAGATTGCAGCTCAAGGTGTTCAGAAGACTCTGCATTTTGTCAGCGTCCTCGCCTAGAAGGACTAGTTCACTAGAGCTAATACTGTGGTGAGAGCTGGATGCCAGCCAAAATTGGTAGACAGTAATTTACGTCAATGTTTACGTCCCCAATATTGGTCATGAGAAAAATAAGAACAAAGACTGACTACTCAACAACCAATCACAGCAGACTTTGCTTGCGTGGGCGGATACAATTTGCAGATAGATAATCTGAACTTCAAGAAACGGTCACAAAGAGATGAAAGATTAACGTTCAGCGAGAAACCACCAATCGGAAGACTGTGTTTGTTTGCTTACAATAATCTATAATAATGTACATGAAAATCTATAAATATCTGTTGATTTCGTAAATAAACGATCTGTTGCCTGGCCCTTGTCTTCTGTTGTTACAATACAACTTCCCAAATAGGTGAAGTGATTTTAAGGCCTATTCTTACAAAATGAACTGAGTAGTGTTTATTTTTTGAATTACTCAGATTATACCTCTTCATTATTTCAAAATTCAATATAGTTAAAGCATATCATCTTATGAACAAACTGAACTCGGGGATAATTGGTTACCGTGAGAAACCGTAGTGAAAGCATAATTCTTTAAAGATACAAGAATTACATAACACTAATATATACATAAGAAGAATATTTAACACACGTGCACATCAATAAAGGCAGATTATGGTGTGATATGGTAGCCCAAAAACACCTTAAATTTCACAGTAATAATAATACACTAATATTAATTATAACGAAATACTTTTAGCTAATAGAAAGGTACCTCTGAATCTTATGACACTCAGTAAATGACGTAGAATATAGGTCAAAATCAAAATGAACTCATACACCACAGAATCATATATATATATATTATTATTATAAAGGTGGGTTAATTAACAGATCAGATCACCAGTACACTAGGATATTCATTGATGAATTCTGTAAATACTATTACTGCACAGAACAGAACACACCCACACATTCAGTTTAAGTCAACAGACTGATATTAGGTGGAAATATGCAAATTAACTATTTTTGTCGACAACAGCAACAACAACATTAAAAAGTAACCATAATTATTCAATTTACGCATAAACTAGAAGGGTATATTTTCATTTTTACTCTCTGTAAGATTCTACATCATCGGTGAAGAAAATAACTAATGCAGGAAAGTGTGATGATTAAGTGCGTCGGTGGCACAGCGGTAGAATGCCCGCCGACCACGCCTCATGTGGTCCGGGGTTCGATCCTCGGCCGACACACTCCTTTCATTCGCTAAGCCAGTAATAAGACTGGTGAAGAGGGAAGGTTGGGCATGAGGCTAGCAACCCCATCCCGTAAAAATAAACACCACTGCTATCGAAACTTCAAAGCTCTAGCTTGAAGCCCTATGTTCCACTGGGAACATAAAGGAATAAAAAAAGGAAAGTGTGATGAGCGAAGTTGAAGTATCATAGCCAAAGCTAAGGTCTTTTGAAAGTTGACCTTCAAGAACCAGTCAGATACAGGGAATGCTATGAAATGTCACTCGAAATCAAATCATACCCGCCTTTTTGGACTTGGAGAAGGCAAATACAGTATTCTACTTATTCTCTAGGTACCTTTCCTGTAAACCTATACTATTAGGTGGGGTTATAGCTTTTTAGATTAAGGTTTATAAGCCTATAGGGTCTAGCGTTTGTAGCAGGTTTAAGAACAGTGTCAGAAATATCAATAGATCTCAAAGTACCATGATCTACAGTCACCTGGGTGAATGCATCTATTGCGCATGGTATAATTTCTCTATAGATCATCTGTGTAGTGACTGGGAGACATTCTTACAACACATAAGCAACAACTATATAGTATAATACCATGTTTGCAATGTGTTTTAGATCATTTTTCAACGATTAAGCGACTTTTTTGCATCTGGATTCTCATTGGTTGTTCAAGGTCACTGTGGTTTCGGCTGTGATAGTTTAGCTTTGTCGTGTGATGAATATATATATATGGATGTGGATTCATGAGGTGTATATGCATATACCATCCCAGCGGTTTCCATAGTCATCACAATGTCAGATGTTATTATATGAAATAATGATGTCAAACCGGGGGGCCATAAACCTGTTGACAGTTAATTTTTATGACAACTATAAATGACATAATCTTTTTTTAGAATTTCACTTACATAAAACAGTATGTATTATAATGAAAAAGAGATGATCTTAACTTTATGATACAATATGATCAATTTATTAAGCTTATAAAGACATCTAGCTGACAAGTTGCAATTCAGAAGAAACGCACTGTCACACTTATCACTAGAAACAAGTGTCCTCAAGTAATATCGAGGTGTAGATACTAAATATATTGTGTTTTGAAGTTCCCGTAGCGAGTGGATTGATTTTCCAAGATAGGGTCGCTAACCACACACCCAATCTTCCCTTTTTTTCCAGGCTCAAGACTGGGTACAAAAACCAGAACAACATCCCTTTACCCTTAATCTTACGGAGTATATTTGATAACAAGATTAAACAAATGACATCCCCCTTCTTGCTATAGTAATTTAGTTAAAGTGGTTATTACGTGTAATAAAATAAATAGTAGCGTGTATTGAGTACTAGGTCATATTGAGTGAAACAAGTACATTCTCTAGTTTATGTCGGTCTGTCTGTTTTCGATATAGAACTTTGCACATATGTGCGGCAGTTCAAGTCGCCACACTCTATATACCACACAAAGGAAGAGAAGAAAGTAGGAGAAATGCATAATAGAGACAGTAAACAGAGGTGTGAGACAAAGGAATAGTAATAACGAAGAACAATATAGTTTTATTGGACATAACAAGTCACAAGGAGTGGATGCATCTGCGCCACTGAGAACGATTTTGAGCCATGTCACCAATTGTTTCCAACCATTGGCTTTTACCATCCCGAGGACCCCAACCAGTTAGGAAGTCTA